ATTTCCATAATAACCTAGAAAAAAGGTCGATCAACTCAGATCTTTTTACAGAATTAAAATATGATCATTTTAAGTATGCGTAATCTTGTCAGGCTTTTAGGTCTAAAACGTGAAATAAATATGCTGCTTCCAATCGCCTTAATGTTAACACAATTTGTCAACTAAAAGTCACATTTTTATARCAAATACGTCTCTTTTAGGTGAAATAAACGTCTACCTACGCTTATTTTATTCTTGTAGTAAATACCAAAAATTGAAAAATCAGGCTAAGGTGTTTATAAAATATTAGTGATCAATGAGAAATTATAATAATTATCAATTTTAATATAAAAATAATATGTAGGTACCTATTTTATTTTATTTATAATTAATCTTGGACGGATACCGCGTGAGTCAGTGGTGTCACTAGTGTAGGAAGTGGTGGAGGAAAAAAAACACAAACAGTTCGCGGTATTATGATTTTTTTATTGTGGTGGTTGAAAATACAACTGCCAGAAAATGATCAACACAAAAATCAAAATAACGGGGGCGTGAGGAGCGTGTGTCGTTCAGTGTCGGTCAGAGAACTCACTCTCCTCGTCTTCTCTCGACCGGTTCGGAGTCTCGGCGGATTGACTGTTCCAGGCGCGCTTATCGCGTGTCGGTGTCGTCCGTCATCGATTGGCGGTTGAAAATAGAAGTAATTGCGCGGGTTTCCGCGCAAAGGCCGTTTGAATTCAAACGGCTATTACGCGGGCCCGCGTCAAAAGTGGTATATAGTTATACATTAGGTATATAATATACAAGCTGTATATTCTGACTCTACCAGTGAAAAAATATTACAAAAACATAAAATACAGTGCTATATTGGTGTATCAAATTTTTAGTATTTATCTTATTATATTGAAGTCACGAGAAAATCGGCATCGGTATTGGTTTTATTTGTAGGGTTAATGCAAACTAATTAGACTGAGATGGACAATTCTTTGGTGGGTTAGATATAGTACTACCTTGTCTATCTTCATTTTCAAATGCGGTTCAAACTACTTTCTAATCTATCTTGATATCCTTAAGATCAATTTCTGAAYTTACATCAAAAGTGAAGTAAGAATATTTTATCTATTTAAAAAAAATTATGATATGATACTCTCTTATTAAAATTTTAAATACCTACCTATATAATTTTACAAAAACACATATTTTTGAGAAATTTCTTATTATCAATCATAATCATTAAAAAACCATGTGAACACAAGTAACACATCATGAATTTAACACACACAAATGATAATCTGATTTTTTTAGTTACTAATTACTTTAAATTTTTTAATTATATGCAAATCATTTAAAATACTTATACCCGAAATTCTTTTATCATAGAGATCTGTATGATCTATATGATAAAATTGTTTTAGTAATTAAATTATATATCCTAGAAAATTTGTCTTTTGATATGTGGTCAGGATACATTTATTACTGAGAGGTACTGGCATTAAATTTTAGTAATAAGGCTATATTCTTATAAGTTACCATATTATTGTGTTGTGGTCAAATAGTGAAAAATAATAGTGGTAAATGACAAAAATACTTATATTTAATGAGAAATATTAAATAATAACCTTTTTTTATCTGTAAAGTTTAGAGTCTTAGTCTAACTTAACTTTACAAGGTTCATGTTATGAATAATTAATTCAAGAAAAAATATAATTAACCAACAGAATATTTATATTATTTTATAATTTCAGTTTACACTAAATACATATAAATATATATTATATATAGGTACATAGAATCAATAAAATATATTTTAAAACATAAATCGGGTAAACATGTACGAATAGTAATAATAAATAATAACAAACATAATATATGAATATGACTAATACAAAACATTTAATAAGTCGAAGAGAAAATCATCCAAAAGAAATATGTATTAAATTCATTCAATAATTTTTAATCTTAATTTCTAATTGTAAAAAAGCAATACAATTAAAAATAATTTCTAAATTTGTATTTGATCGTGTTTTAATAGCTTTTGAATACAACATTAATACTGCCTTACAATGATAAAATATATTCATTATGGATTAGTATAAAGTGAAAAATTCTGAAGAATTTGCTGAAGATCGGTGTTGGAATGTTTTAATGATTGCCTTGTATCCTTAACTACTTTGCTAACCATTAGTTTGATAAGTGATGAGCTTGCCAAATCATGATTGGACTTGTTTGACTCAAAACTTCCCAAACAATCAAGTAGTAATTTCAGTGTCAGTGTATCATAATTATTTCTTACAACTTCTAAAATCTACAAGACAATGCAAAGATAAAAAACAATGATAACAAACATTATTAATATTAAAACACAGTATAGTTTACTAATTTAAGTTAAAGCCAATCCTATTACAAAATATAGTTTTTTTAAAAGTTTTATGTCCCTTTATTATATTAGTTGAATATTAATGTTAATAGCAGTTTTCATAATACATTGCAATATACTCTATTCAGCAAGGGATTGCAATTCTCCCACTACACATTACTTTTATATGTATACTACTGCGCCACTGGCAGTAACGTTAATGTTGGTAAAGTGGTAGGAATGTGCCGCAATAGACGAGTTTTGGTCACGGTCAATTKTGCTTACTGACTGAATAGAGTATAGTTTTTTAACTTACATTTTAAATGATTAAGTTCAATTTTTATATTTTATATTTGTTTCCTTAATTAATAAGTAACACATTATAACAAAAAAATTATTAGATAAGATAAAATACAATATAGTTATTTAAGAAAATTTACATGAAAAAGTTTAAAATAAATTAAGAATCAGAGTAAAATAGTTACTTCTTCACCAACAGGTGTAGTTACTGAGTTCTTCTCTAACCAATTATCGATTTTTGGTATGTAATGATTGATTATAGCTCTGCAAATTCAACAGTATTATTTCATTAATTATGGATATAGTAAAATGTAAAACATATCTTACCTTATATTTATTAAACAATTAGATAGTTTTGTAGCAGATAACTTATGTTCACTAACAGATGAAGAGTTTCTTGATGCTAAAATTTATAAATACATATTACAATTAATCGTTTAACAATAGTACGATTTTATTACATTTTATTACATGTATATTATTCAAATAAAAGATTAATTGTACACATTATAAATACAACAATACAACATCTTTTAAATTTATACCTACCTTCTTTAAGCATAGCTTGTGATGAAGGTAGGGAGTTAATATTACTTACTAATAAATAATAATACACAAATTGCTTATGATAACAGGATAAACACGTTTACTAGTTATACAAATTATAAAAGTAAATTAGAATAAAATTTAGATTAGAACAAAATATAATAATTGCAATGATATTATATAWTATTTTATAATATAAATGATATACATTTTATTTAATATTTAATATTGACCAATTTTTAATAATATTTTTTGCATATTTAGGTTTATCGATTATTATTATTTTTTAAATATAAATGTAGAGAGTTATGAAATTTTAAACCAAGATAATCCACAAATTGTTGACCAAAAGAAGTAAGCAGATAATTAATTTTAGCATCATATGCCCTAATTTCTCTAGTTTGCTTAGATTTATCTATATTATACAAATTTTCCATATTTTTTACTATCCACATAATTGCAATTTTCTTATTGCTGTAAACTTTGAAAACTTTAAATTTTTGAGACGTATATCCTTCTAAACTGTATTTATTAAGRCATATTCTAATAATTTAATTTTGTCGCAGTTGTAGCTTTTTGGGTAAGATCTCCCCATACTCGAATGTTATATTGTGAAACTGCTTGGTATGATGATAAATATACTCATTATTTAAAAAAGTATTGAATTTTTAAAAATATTTTTTTACATAGTTTCAAGTTGTTAAAAAACCAAAGTTTTTAAAAAAAAATTATATTTTTAAATATTTTTTATCCTTATAATTTTTTAATTTTTTTAGTTTTTTGAATGACAACATAGAGTTTTAATTTCATATTYCAAAGCAGAATATTTTTCTAAGTATTTTTATTCATAAAAATCGAATTTAGGACGAGTAGTTTATGAGTTAATAAGTATTTAAAGTTTTGACAAGCGGAGTAGTGGACAAACATTTTACGGGGTTACCCCATACCACTCCACTCTGCCAATCTAAACTTTAAATACTTATAACTCATAAACTACTAGCCCTAAATTCGATTTTTATGAATCAAAATACTTAGAAAAATATTCTGCTTTGGAATATGAAATTAAAACTCTATGGTGTCATTCAAAAAAGTAAAAAACTTAAAAATGATAATGATATTTAAAAATATAATTTTTTAATAAAAACATTGGTTTTTTGAAAACTTGAAACCATGTAAAAAAATATTTTGAAAAAAGTATATACTTTTTTAAATAATGAGTGTTGTTTGATAAATCAATCACCCTGTATATTACATACAATATTAATAGGAAAAAAWTCTTTGAGTTTACAGAATTTATACACTGATATTCTTAAACGATTAACTATGTTATCTATATGTACATTCCACCTTAAGTTTTCATCATAGATAATACCCAGGTACCATGTAAAAAGTACTTTTGAAATTTATTTACAAATATTATTATTACATTTCTCCTTACTYTACAATAATACAGTGATTTTATCAGAAGGCACATTTTCTTTGTTTATAGTAAAAGTTACAAAAACTGTTTTTTTTTTWAAATATTTAATAATAGTTTCTTTGAGCTTAAATGATTGACAACTCTTGTAAATTCATTTTCTAACTTTTGATATACTGAATCCCAAGTGGGACCAGAAAAACATCAAACATGTATCATTTGCATGTGTAATTATTTTCCCATCAATTTTTTAGATTGCATATACTATTTAGTATTTATGTACATATAATATAAAAAAGATACCCCAAGTACACTGCCCTGAGGTACTTTACATATTATTTCCCTTTCCTTACTTGAAACACCATTTATCATAACTATTTGATTTCTTTTAAATTAATAACTTGTAAGCCATTTTATACTACTCGTTTTCATACCAAAACTAGGTAGAATTCTAATTAATTCCGAATGATTTACCATGTCGAATGCTTTAGCAAGATCTAGGAAAATTGCCAAAGTTTTCTTTCCCTAATCTAGTGCATTATAAATAAAGCTAGTGACACTATAAAGAGCTTCTCCGGTACCTATGCCAAGACTAAAGTTAAACTGATTTTTTGATAATAACTTGTTTGCTTCTAAGTAGTTTATTTAAGTAGTTTATTAAGCGGTTTTTTATTATCTTTTTAATATTTTTGAAAAATTACATAACATAGAGATTAGTCTATAATTATTAACTTTATGTTTATCTCCATTCTTATTTAATTGAATCACTATTGCAGTTTTAAATTTATCGTGGAATATGCGATTGTGTATACTTAAGTTACATATGTATGAAAGTGGCCTCAAGATACTTTCATCTAGATATTTTAAAAGTTTGACCGATATTATACATTAAACTGTCTACACAATTGTATAATTTTAAACAATAGTAAAATGTATTATATGTATTTATATTATTTAATAAATACTTACATAAGACATATATATTGTCAAATACTGTATGCATCCTAATAATTTCATAGTACAACTCATCATAACTGCTTGGTGATGGAAGTAGCATATCACCATAGGTAATGAACAAGTTAAATATATTAACAATCTGTTAAACAATATCATATTAAAAAATATTATTTGAATATAATCAAAAAAAATTATACAATATATATATATGTATTTGTATATAGTTTTACTATGTTTTTGAAATGTCTTTAGTTTAAATTTATTTAAAACATGCTCACTTGTATCCCTAAATCATAAATATTCATATCCTGTGAAAGTTGATGTTCATAAGTCATTAGAAATTTTAAAAGTGTGATTAAAGAACTCCATAAATCTTTCCAATTGTAACACAAACGCACACTATTCCGTTTTTGGTAACATATTATGCGATGAATTATACTTATACATTTCATATATTGGTCAAATGGTAATTTTTTCATCATATGCCCTAACATAAACTCGATCATCAAATCTAAAACATGTACAACATTTTGTATGCAAATGATTATTTGATATACAAGAGTAATAATATTAATAATAAATATCATAGAATATCAATGTCAACAGTTAGTACAATGTACTACTACCTAATAGAGCAGCAGCCAAAGGTTTTGGCGACTTGTCAGGAACAAACATGTATCGTCTGGTAGGTGATCTATATAGATCGACTTTGAATTGTAAATTTACATCATGCATTAGTGAATTGGCAAATTGGTCATCAGTAATACTAGACAATATTACAAAACATAGCATTGAGTTATTTGCATTTGCTTCAGTCTTTGTGTCCTGCATTACAATTGAACTAACAAGATGCAAACATAGATTAAAATTAAAAAACAAATGGTTTAACAACAAATTAATTTACCAATATTGAAAAAATGTGACTAGAAGATTGGAAAATTGATTATCTGATAGCGATTTGAGATCAGGATTATTTGTAGCTGCATGTGTCTGTTGCATAACACTAGGGTGTGATTCATAGTTATTGGATGTATGACAATGTGTTAATGTAGTCATAAAGTTTCGATTGTAATGTACAGCTTCATACAATGCAATTAATATTCCACTCATTGACCTTAAATTTAATTAATGAATACATTTAATTGTTAGCTTATTAAATAAAACTTGATTTACATTGATAATTTTATTTTTATTTTATAGTGAAAATTATAACATCCACTGTAAAAAAAAAATGGAGATTTGAGATTTAACAGTTGCATAATTAAAGTTCAAATGTTACAATTTTCAAAATAATAGTAATTCCTTATAATGTATTGAACATTTTTTTCTGGAAAATCGTGACCAGTTAGGGCATTTCTCAGGAAATACTTATATATATTTCTAGATTTATTAAGTAATTTTATTTAGTATAGTTTATTGTTGACAAGAATATTATTTTTGTTTGAATTCACAAAAATACAATAAAATTACTTAGGTGTTAAATATACACACATAACTGAATRTTTATGAATTTAACTAAGACAATTCAATTATAAAATGACATTCTAATAATCTATAATCTATCTGCATAGATATTGTTTTATTTGTTCCACATATTCTTGGTACAGTATTTATAACTTAATTATCAGTAGGGTAATTAATAGTAGTCAGTAGGATTTTTCTAAATACTTAAAAATTAATTATATACCAGTAACTTTTCTAAGTAAAAAGGGTAGATATGTGAAAAACAATAAAAATAAATAAATGGCACCTGATTTCTTGAGGTAATTCAATATTATGTTCTTCAATAGTTTCTGGTACAAATAGCATATTGCTTACAACCGATGTAAATGTGTTAAACCATGTGTTGTTTGAGTACTGTGCTATTTCTTCTGATCTATATTGTTGACAAATTTCTTCCAATGACCATCTTATAATCTTTTAAAATAATAATTTAATAATAACTGAGCCAAAATTGTATGATAGATTATTAATAATAAATTACAACAAACGGGAAAAACAAATGATTAGTATAACAACAGTCAGATATAGATGAAAGGAGTGAAGGATTGATTTGTAAGTCCACTAATACTATAGTAATTACTAATTAGTATTAAATATTGAAATATATACAAGAATGAGGTAAGACGCGGTCTGTAATAGAAGCAAGTATGATGTACAAGTGCTACAGAGATCTGTAGATGATGGAGCACACAAATAGCATTATTGGTTAAAATATYCAATGTGATATAAGAGTATGAGACAAGGAACCAAGCTGACTGGCCAATACAGTTGGTAGCAAAGGCTTCAACCACAAAATAGTTTGTATACTGTTACACAAAAGACACGTCATCTCTCACCCAATTAGCCACACATAAAAATTTGACCATACAGCATCATAATAATACAATGTTTTCCAAAATTACTCGTCATTATTATTTTTAATACCAACATTCACATGTTGTATTTTTTTGTTTCTATATTAATAAACTTATCATCAATCACATGGTATCATAAAGAGAAGTTGCAGTCAATATACTAGGTGATTATTTATCATGAACCACTTATCATTTTGAAAAAAGAAAAATAATAATGGTTTCTACTTTCTAGTCATTACAAAATATATATATTTTCAAGTAGATATATAAATCTGTGGTGCAGGCGGTCAGACTGATTGTTAATTATTATTACTAGGGCTCGGGACTTTATGTGCTTAAAAYCTTAAAAATATGCGCATACATATGCACCAAAAAATATCAAAATATGCGCTTTATTATGCATTTATTTTTAATAAAAAAATACATAGGTACTTATTCAAATTTAATTTAAAAAAACATATCTTGTACATATTACTAAAAATTTATATTTTATACATACTATATTACTAAAAAAAAAATGTAAAAACTGTTAAATGGGAGGTCTTTGGATTTTTCAACACTCAGCATCTATACCTAGCAATTATAATTTTTATGTATTAAAAAATAATCATTTTATAATTCTAATTATGTACTTACTTGCGTTACACTGGATTATCAAATGTTTTTTTATGTTCTCGACTTTGAAAGACCTTCTATTATTTGTAAGTAAAGTTTTGTAGGCGGAAAATGATCTTTCTACGTTTACCGATGTGATGGGAGCATATTTAAAATATGTCAGATCATTAATATCTAAGTCTTCTGGTAAGTCTTCATGTCAATTAATTCACCGTTAAGAATGTTTTTAATTTTCTTTAGCATAGCAAGACCAACATTTTTCTTTAATACATTTTCCATCTTTGTACAGATATTTTTCCTAGTTGTCCCAGTAAGACGTTTCATTGCAAAACTTACATTGTCAATAATTTCAATTGAATCAGCTAAAGAAACACCTTCAGTTTGCAATTTTGTAATTGATGTAGTAAGAGAACTAAAATTTGATTTTATGTAGACTAAATCATTTTTAATGTGAGGTGTTGCCAAGTATTTTTTTGCATTTTTTATACTCAAGGCATCCTCTGAATCTAATTTATTTACAATATTGAAAATTATCTCAAAGTTTTCACAGTAATATATGGCTGCATTTATCCAGGTGCCCCATCGTGTTATTACTGGCTCTGGAGGTAAAGGTAAATCCGGTGCCTCAGTTTTAAAAAGAAGCATGCGAGATGGAGCTTTTCTAAATATTTTTTTGATATTTGAAATCAGCTGATCAACAGATTCATATTGGCTTCGTACTTGTTCAGCCACCCTGTATAGCCCGTGCGCAGTGCATGTAACGTGTATCATTTTGGAATATAAAGCATTTAACGTTTGACCACATTTCATCATGTAAGGTGCTGCGTCCGACAAAAATAATAAAACATTGTCATGTTTTATACCATCTGGCCATAATATAGAAAAAGATTTGTCAAATAGCTTACTAACTGTAGAATTAGCTTTTTCCAGTTCTTCAGTGTTCAAAAGAAATATTTTTCCAGATTTTCCAGCTTCCAAAGTACCGATAATCACGTCTGCGATAAATCGACCYTCAGCATCGGTCGTTTCGTCGATCGATATCCAAATTTTATGATCAGAAATATATTCTCTTATTTTTTGCATAGTTTCAATAAAACAACCATCAATATAGCCTTTTCTTAAAGTTGTGTCGTATGGTATCTCTTTCCMTGTGTAAGATTCGAAAAAATTTCTAAATACTTGGTTCGATAATTTATTCAATGGAATGTTAGCCGATAGGAATGATTTACATAAGTCCATATTGAAAGTAGACTTTTTAGTTTCATTAGTTTATGTAATCATGTTGGATTCTTGTATTTAACATTTCCCTCCGTTTAATCATTTT